ACTCCTGACTGCCACTGTGGTAATGTTCTTTTGTGCTTATTATTATTACACGTTTTTGTTCGGCAGCTCTGTTTAAAGCTGCATAATTAGCCAACACTTTAAGATAAAACCACTGAAAGGAGCTCCAGGCTGTTCTTCCTTTCTGCTCACTGTTTGCTCAGAAGTTTTCTGTGCTTTAGCCCATTGTGCTAATATTGATTTCTTCACCCACCAGCCAGCTTTCTTTTTCTTGGGCAACTCAAAAATACTCTAATCGGTTGTCATTCTCTCCACATGGGAGCCATCCAAAGCCCTTGGCTGCCTCTGCGGGCATCCATTGGTTAAGGATTTCTCAATGGCCCCCCCTTTCCCACTAGATTCTTGACCTTCCCCATTGTGCATTCTGAAAAGCCCCATTTACCTTGCTGCCTGGATACCGACTGCTGCAGAGTATGTTTCTCATCAACATCTCTCATCTCTGGCTACTTGGGATATAATGCCAGCTTCAACAACATTTTCTCCTTTCCTCTTCATGTTTTTTTGGGGTCTGGTAATAACTACAGTTGATGTTGTGAGTTGCTGATTTCAGTCAATAAGCCTCTCAGGGTCCCTGACCATTCTCATGATTTCAATATTAAATGGAAGCAATTTAGTGTCTGATGCTGACTTGCCCTAGAGTCCCGCTCCCCTCCGTGCTCCAGCATTTCATATATTGCTTGGCAGCTACAAACCATTGGCTTTTGGTTGCTGAACTTGCATTTGTTTCATTTATGGTGTTTATACCAATTAAAAAAGATAGCCATAATTTTATATTTTCTGGAGATAGGGAGAAACATCATTTAGACTTGTAAATGACAAGGGGAGGTAAATCAGATATTGGTGGGTAAACTGGGTTATTCCAGTTTTATTGGTCTGGTAATTTTCTTGCTATATTTGCCACTGGAAACAGAAATCTCCAGTTACAGGTAGCTACTTATACTTTTGCATCATTATATGGTATCACTTATGCAAAGGTTATTTAATTATAATTCTCATAAATTAGTCTTAAATCAGAAAGTGAGAAGAGTAGTTCCAAGGCCCAAATTTCTTTCTATTGAAATTTACAGAAATAATCTCAGTACTCAGAAAGGCCAAGTGTATGCTATTTTTCTTTTCATTAGCTCACTGCATCTCAAATTTTTTTCCTACTCTCTGAGAACCTTGAGAGTACAGTATTTGATTATACAAATATCTTTGGGCATACATTATATTTTATGGTTTTTTAAAATACAATTTTTAGTGTGGAAACATTTAGACATAGACAAAAGTCTGTCATCACTCAGCTTCAACAGTTATCAACTCATTAGTCAAATTTGTTCCACCTATGCCTTTACCTACTCTTCCATGCCCATAGGATAACTAGTAGTAAGCAAATCCTCAGATGTATCATTTCACCCGTTAGTATTTCAGTATCTCTCTAAAATGAAAAACTCTTTCAAAAAGCATAGCCATATTATAATCAAACCTAAAAACTTTAACAATATTTCATTAATAGCATCAATTAACTAATCAAAATTGAAATCTTAGTTGTTTTATAATTTCTTCTCACATTGGTTTATATAAATCAGAATCCAAATAGGATCCATATATTATATTTGGTCGCCATGTTTCTTAAATCTCTTCTAATCCATAGTTCTCCTTATTTTGTTTTTTCTTGTAATTTTCAAAATCCTTTGAAGTTTTTAGGGTTCAGTTTTGCTGACTGCATTCTCATACTATCATTTTGTGTTTCTCCATTGGCTGAATTTGCTGTATCCTGATCCATGGATATTGAGGTTTGATTATATTCCTTCTTCCTTTTTTTGGCAAGAAAAGTTTATGGGAATGTTACATACTTCCATCAAGATGCCAAAATGTCTGCTTATTTTTCTGCAATGTTCAATTGTTTAGTTTGCTCATTTGTTGCCACTCTGACCCAACCATTATAAAGTTTCCCATCAGGTATTAACGTGCAGTTTTTAGTAGCCATTGGTGATCATGAATGAGGACGCATGATTTGATTAGACGTTTTAAAATGATATATTCTAATGGTATAAATTCTTCATTTATTAGGTTTTACTAAAAAAAATTATTTTGGTAAACAGGTAACTATGATGTGCTAGCACTTTGCAAGACAATAAAAAGGAAAGACAATATATATATCATGGACCCTGTTCTAAATAGAACTAGAAGCATATGCTCAAAACAAGTCAAGAGCAATTATGGAATAATAAAATGATTAAGAAAAGAGAGATGAGCATGGGTTGGAGAATGCTTCATGGAAGACATGTGACATGTGCAGGCCAGGAAGCATTTTATGAAACAGGGACACCTTGAGAGACTGCTGCTGAGAAAATAGTATGGACAGTGCTGTGAGGCTAAGAGCAGTAGGGAAGGTGAAGGAAAAACAAAATCTACCTAGAGATAACACATTAGTTGGGTTAATGGGGAACATGGTTGGGGACAATGAGAAGGCTGAACCATTCCAGTTCTGATTGGAGAAGTTGAGATAATCTCCTGAACTTTTTGGTATTGTTCTAAATGCATTTAGGAGGTAAACAAAGTGGTTTAGGGAGTGAAGTGGCCTATGGAAATTCAGTAGTTTAGAAATTGATTTGTCATAAGTAAAAGCTCATCTTCACTTAAAATATATAAGATTGCCTAAGTCTGACGTAAATTTTAAAGAATTAGCCATGTTGATTGGTGTATATAATAAAAAAATTATAAACTACAGAAATACTTGTGGTTCCACAGAACAAACAGGATATTTAAAAGAAGAGGCAGGCCCTAGATGGTTTGTCTCAGTGGATAGAGTATTGACCTGTGGACTGAAGAGTCATGGGTTTGATTCCAGTCAAGGGCACATGCCTGGGTTGTGGGCTCATTCCTCTGTAGATGGTGTGCAGGAGGCAGCTGATCAATGATTCTCTCTCATCATTAATATTTCTATCTCTTTCTCCCTCTCCCTTCCTCTGAAATCAATAAAAATATATTAAAAAAATAATAATAATAAAAAAAGAGGCAGGCCCACAGGGTTTGGTGTAAAGCTGTAGCCAAGTTAAAGATGTTGAGTTTCACTTTGGAAATGTGTTTTGGGTGCCCATACAAATAGCAAAGGCATTACATATTTGTTAGGATGGGTTGCAGACAAAAAGAGTATGTTTTAGAGTTAGATACACAGAAATGATAGGTTAACTCATGGGAGAGAATGTACACGTCAAATAATGATAGAGAGGCTGAGGTCAAAGAGAAAGGATAGCAGTAGAGTTGTGGGTGTGAAGTGGGCACAGGAAGCAGGTAGTGTCCATTAGTGGAGAAGTATGGGAGACAATGAATGGCCTCTGCAGGAAGGAGTTTTAAACGTGAAGAGATGGTTAGCAGGGTTAGGTACCACCATGAGGTTTAAGAAAGGGGGACTGAGTGCTGTCCTTGAGGTGTTTGTGAGGAAGATCACTAACAGCACTTGGACGCTTGATTTTGACACATCATGCTTAAGATAGCATGTGGGTTACAGGACAGAAGGCACAGGTGATCTTATTCTAGGTATGGATTTCCAAAGAAGAATGTAAATATGATGGCTAGAATAGCAGCTAAGAGGAAAAGCTAAGTGTGTTTCAAAACCAAGAATCTGATTTTTTGGGGGTTATTTTGATATATAGGGCAAATATATTTTTAGAAAACAAACTTAGAATAGTTAAAGTGTAAAAAGAGTTTAACTGTTTAGTCACTTGAATTCATCATATTTTAGGACATTTTAGTTATTCAGTTTTCATTTTATGTATTACCATAATGAGTCATGCTTATATCAAATATGTAATGCAAGGTATTAAGTCGGGAATGCTAGTTCCCTCCTTTAATAAAAAAAAAATTCTGCACATTTCTGCATCTCCCTTCTCTCTGCTTCCTTAGATACATGTGTCTATGGAACATGTAAGGGTTTGATTTTATTTGTTAGTTTCATTGGTTTCTTCCTTGCAAAGATAATACATGTTCACTGTAAAAATATACCTTGGCATAGACAGGCTTAAGGAATAAATTTTTAAAATTCCATAAAATAATGCTATTCAGAGATAGGCAATATATTATTTTGATAAACCTCCTTCAAAATCTCTTTCTATGTGTAGATACCTAGATGATATTTATTTTAATGAGATCACACTGTAAAGTGGTTTTGCATCTAACAATATGTTGTGGGCATTTTCTATGTCAGTGAATATAAATAAAAAGCATCTTATTCAATGGCAGTCATTGTATGAAGGTACAATAATTCATTTAAGCTATCTCCTATTGCCAGACACTTAGATTCTTTCCAATTTTTGTGTTTAAGCAGCACTGCAGTGATTGTTCCAATGGGTACATTTTTGTGCACTTGTCCAATTGTCTTTGAATAATTTCCTAAAAGTTGGATGTGGGCAGAGGCTATACATATGTTATATTATGATACATATTGCCCAATAAGGGCTGTAGCAGCTTATTTCTACCAATAACACCAATCAGTACCCCAAAAGTTCTTTTAAATGTCTTGAAAAAAATGTTTTTCATCCTCCTTTGGCCTCATTTTCCTCACTTATAAAATAAAGAGGATGAAATAATCAGTGGTTCTTAAACTTTTTAGCACCTTAAGTCCACTTGAGATTTAAAAAAAATTATTGAACAGAAGCTGGAACTGTTGCTTCAGAAAAACACACCTAAGCAAAAATAGAGAAATTTTCATATGCTATTTATGGGAATCCATAGATCTTTTTAAATTAATTCACAGAGTCTTTAGGATTTCACTCCATGAATCCAAGCGAAGAATCTCTGAATGAGGTGATTTTAAGGTTGCTTTCTGCTTTTAACACTAAAGCACACACATACTGCACACATATCACACTATTGTGCACACAGAATTTTAATGTGTATTTGGAAAAACTTCGATATCTGCTTGTTACAGAACCTAGTATCATTGTGATCGGTAAAATCGCATGAATGTGAACAGTTATTGAAATGAATTTCTATTTCAGGTTCTTCAATGGCGAGCCCACCAGGAAGAGGTAGCACAACTGGAAATGGAAATTTCTGCCAGAAGAAGGAAAAAGGAAGAGGAGAAAGAGAAACTGTGGAAGAAGAAGAAATTGTTACAAAGAGAAGAGAAGAAAGAAAAAGTATAAAATTCGCTGTTGCTGTGAATGTGTGAATGAATGTTTAACTGCCTGAGTGAGCTTTGATTAACCTTGGTGTTTGGCATGGGATTTTCATAGGCAGTTCTTAGGAAGATTTTTGGACATGAAGAACCCACTTTATTAACCTGCATAATCACAGATATTATACTTATGATTAGAAAAGATGCTAAGGGTAAAGAAAAGACAGGTTTTGTGACTGTTGTTAAGTCTTGTACTGAGCAGGGCTATGGCAAAGACCAAGCATATTGGGATAGCATTGTGGTTGACTGTAGTGCAGTCAATGACTGTCAAAAAATGTCCATGTGAGAAGGCATTTTGAAAGATGGCAGAAAGACTTTTGTTAGCCTGTAGATGATATTGGGCCTGAAACCAAAAGAAAAACAACAACTAAACAAAGAGTAATAAAAGGAATAATTAATCTGTAAGCCAAATTCATGGTCAACCTCTTGCAATTCTATAGGATCAAGGCATCTGTTTTATTTTATTTACTAGAGGCTTGGTGCATGAATTCAGGCACCAATGGGGTCCCTTGGCCTGGCCTGCATCTTCTCTCACTCTGGGACCCCTTGGGAGATGTCAGAGCACTAGTTTTAACCCAATCCTTGTAAGTCAGGCCAAAGGACCCCATCAGTGCATAAGTCCCTGCACTGGGTCATTATTATACATATAAGATCATTGGTTAATCTCTTCCTACCTTCCCTTCTCCCCCCTTCTCTCTGAGATTCATTAGTCATGTTTCCTTGCCTGTGGTTTCCACTCTTGCATTGAGCATCTGCCTCCTGGTGGTTAGTGCACATCATAGCAACCAATCATTCTGCCAGTCATTCCGCCATTTGGTTGATTTGCACATTAGACTTTTATTATATAGGATAGAAGTACATTTAAAAAGTATTTTTTAAGTACAGAGAACGATGTAAAAAAATGCTTTACTATTCACCACCTAGCCTTGAAACTGTTAATATTTTCATTCTCCAGATTATTTTACCCTACAGATAAGGTTGAAGTCCTCTTTTAAGGATATACTGATTCTCATTGCCCTTCTTACCTCCTCAAAGGCAATCTTCATCATGAATTTTATTTCTATCTTTCTAGGCCATCTATTATTGCTTTTCACATATTTTAATATGTAGCTTGTGAATTTAAACTTTTTCATGAATACTATCATACTGCAGCATGTACTTCATTCAACCTTACAATTTTGAGATATCCTTATGTCAATATACAGAGACCTGGTTCATGCCTTTTAACTGCTACTCAGTGTTCCATTGTAGAACTAAGCTACCACCTATCTCTTCTCTTAGTGGTTGACATTTAAGTTTCTAAAGTTTTGTTTTTGCAACCATACTGTAACAGGCACTGCATACATGTCCACGGGGGCATATGTGCACAGCTTTCTTTAGGGTACACTTTGGAGGGGAATTACTATGTTCTTGGATCTGTATGCTTTCCATTTCATAAGGTTTTTTATTTTTATTTTATAAGATAGTATAACTTTTCTTCTTGACTTATGCCAATCTTATTAATGTAAACAGTGTCTCATTGTTTTAAATTGGACTCTTCTGATCACTTGAAAGATTGAAAATCTCCTCATATTCATTGGAAAGATTTCTTCATCTGTGAATTGCTTTTTCGTACTTTTTGTTCATTTGTACATTTTTTTCTTTATTAATCTGTAGAAGTTCTTATAAATTCTGCATTTCCTTTCATTAGTTATATGGATTCCAAATGTTTTCTTCCATTACTGACATGCCTCTAAATTTTCTCTGTGGCATCTGTAGTTTCACAGAAATTTAAAATGACAAATTAATTGAAGTTATTAAGCTTCTCTTTCTGAATGATGCATTCCTTTAGGAGTTGTGACCTGGTAGTAAGAGCATCTCTACAGAGAGCTTTTGTTTGCCTCTGATAAGGGCCCCATGCCTTTTACTGGCCCAGGACCAGTTGGTATGTTAACTTGAGACTCAGGACCTGTGCTGGGAGCTGGAGTGGGTGCTGACTCAGTACAGATCCACAGTCCCAGCCTGGATTCTCCAGTAGACCCTTCACTCCTCTGGTCCCCTTGTCACTTTCCTGGGAGGTGATCATAGTGCATCTAGTTCCTGTGTTGTGTATGGATGATCCCTGCATGACTTCTTGCTCTTTGTAAGCTTGGTTCTCTCTCCTTTGTGCACAGGTCCTTCAATTAATTAATATTAAAAGTCCTGCCACCAAATTCTCAGACCCTAAGAGTTCCTAGGCTTTGGCTTCCTCTAACTGCTCTGATTTTGAGTTTCATTTATTTTCAGCACTGAGACATTGGTGTGTGTGTGTGTGTGTAGTGTAGTGTTGTGTTATAGTTTGTCCAAAATATTTATGTGTTTAAAGTAGGAAAGAAGATTTCCATCTTAATTCAGACATACTCATCATAGTTCTGGCTACCTTTATGTATATTAACAAAAAAATCCAGCTTATATTTATTTTAGCTATTTTATATGTTGGTGACCAATTTTAGTGCTTTAATTTTAACACTAGCTTGGCAGTTTTGCTGTCTTGGGACTAGTTGCTGTGTTAGCTGGGGCTGTTTCACCTGCCTGGCTTTCCCTTTTTTTAAGAGAGCAGCAACAGAGATGGAGAAACTGTGTAAAACCCCACTGCAGGGTTCATGAACAAGAGATATCTTTGTCCTAATTCTTCTTCCCAGTGTTTGTCTTTTATGGAAATAATAATGTCTTTTTGTTGGGATAATATTGTATTTTTGTTGGAATAACATTTTGATTTGTATTCAGTGTCAAAGTTTACCCTAGTAGGTGCCCATCTCCTTTCAAAATCTACCTTTACATTATTAGATCACTCTTTTCTGTGTTTTAAAACTCTAGTTGAATATAATGTCCACAGTTTTCATGGTTTTATTCTAGACTCCGGGAAAGTTTTGATTTATAAGCTGTTAGGAGATAACGGTAATATTTCAGAAGCCTCTTTCCACTTTTGATATTATTGTCATGATAAAAATCAAAAGATGTTGCCTTTCTATAAACTATCCCTAGGAGCTATTGTAAGAAACAAAATTACTGTGCTAGATGAACCTTAAAACACTTGATGTGTGATATTGGTCTCAACATCACCTTTTCAGTAGACATGGCCCTTTGGATGGCTTGAGTAGCATAAAGATTGCTCTGTATCACAGCATTTTAGGAGTTTGTTGCTGCATGATGTTAGGACTTTTATGGAATTTGAAGTAAGGAAAGTTTCAGCCTTGCTCCCAAAATGAAGATTTTAACCAAGGATCACCTAAAAAAGAGACTTGTCCTTCCTTTGGCAGGCATACCACAAGTCTCCCCCAATTTTAGCCAACTCCTAATTCAGCATTGAAAACAGCCACACTGTGTGATTGAGGGATGGGAGCATTATCAGGGCAGTCAGATGCCTCCACAGCCGTGTGGCCTTCAGCCTTACCTCAGAGATTTTCTTTTTTGGGTGGGAGGAAGAAGGAATCTATCATTTTGTGATCTCTTAGTTTTAAGTGACATCGCACCAATCAATACCAAGAGACCCAGGCTCCAGTACTCCAGTAGAACCTTGGCATGGCACTTGGGTGCTCCCCCCTTGTCTTCAGGCAACCTGGCAAATACTCAGAATTATGTTCATCCTGCAGACAGATAACCAGCAAAGAGGAGGAAGAATCTAAAACAAAAGAAGGCAGGCCATCATAAACAGAATGCAGTGCTGCTTCAGAGAAGATTCAAGAAGCTCTGTGCTTGAATCCACAGTACCTTCCAATTAGATCAAAACCATCCTCTCAGGGTGGGAATCTCTGGGTTCTTATGAGTGCATTTCATTATGAAATCATAACAATCTCTTCTCCAGTATTTCTTAATCTAATAATATACTGATCTAAAAAGCTAAAAGTGTGTGTGTGTGTGTGGGGGGGGCTAAAGGGGGGCAGCAAGTGGGAGAAGGTCAACACAGGAGAAAGATAAAAAACTATATTCTGAGATTTTTAAACTCTGCTTCTTTGGAATTGTTGATACATAAAGGAGCCAATGAATAACTCCTGTAATAGGCAGGCTCTAAGATGGGCCCCCAGATTTCCTGCTCCTGTGAGATGCATGCCCTGTATAATGGCCAGGGCGGTAAATGCCATGGATTAGGTTATATTGTATGACACAGACCACCTTGGGAAAGGGGGAGATTATCTGGGTGGGCTTGACCTAACCATGAGTCCTTTAAAAGCAAAGAATTTCCTTTGGCTGCTCACAGGAGAGATAGTCAGAGATTTGAAACACGACAAGAACATAACTCGTGTTTGTGGCTTAAAGATTGAGGAGATCACATGGCAAGGAATGGGAGGAGGAACTTCCAGGGGCTGACCATGCTGACAGCCAGAAAGGTAGTGAGAACCTATAACCTGTACTGTAGTTCTATAACCATAAGGAGCTGAATTCTGCCAAAAGCACAAATGAGCAGATTTTTCTCTAAAGCATCCAGATGATAACTCACTTTTGTCAACAACTTGATTTCAGCCTTGTGATGTCATGAGCAGAGAGCCCAGCCACACCATAATGAACCTTGACTTAGGATTCTGAGCTAATAAGTGAGTGTTGTTTTAAGCTGCTAAATTTGTGGTAATTTGTTACACAGCAATTAAAAAATTAACACAGGTTTTAGTATCTACAAGTAAAATGCTGCCAAGACAAATCTAGAAACATGTGGAAGTGGCTTTGGAATTGGGGTCTGAGGAGACGCTGGAAGAATCCGAGGAGCATGATTAAAACAAGACAAGAACGCCTTGAACAGACTGCTAATAGAAATACAAACGGTAGAGATGTGGCTGGTGAGGACTCAGAAAAATTCAGCGAATGAATTATTGGAAACTAGGGATAGGAAGATCACAGTAATGTGGTGGGAGAAAGTCTAGGGAAATTCTGTCCTGTGGGTAGGTGAAAAGCTGTCCTAAGTAATGAACTCCATGTGTGATGAACTGAAAACAGTTTCTAAAGTGTGTG